AAAGCTTTTTTACAATTTCAAACTTCAAACGTTTCAATAACGCTATATAATAGTCACTGTTATTAGTTTTACCCTTCTCAAGATAGTCGATGAATATTACACCTTCTATATACCAAAATACCGAGACCATAACCTTTCCAGCTGATTGTTGTGCTTTCGGGCGACAAAGTTCACCAGCTGCTGTCCACTAAGATAACTATAGTTTTCATGACGGAATGAAGTGGTGGATCCAGGTTTCATCCATTGTCACATATGGACGCAAAAATTCTGGTTTGTTAATCAAAATTTTTTGACAAAACGGCGGCTTCACAAAAAAGCCATATATGAAGGTAGTGCGAAAATTTCAATTCGATCGGTTCACCCGACGAAATGTAGTAAATACTCGAAAAGTACTAAAATTTGGTCAAAATTGGGTTTGTTTTCTTGTCAAGCAGATAGTTTTATGTCATTTAAGATTTGTTCGAAATGTCGGCCATATCGATGTTTTTAAATTCACAAGTGGATATAAGCCCTTAATTAAGTATGTGTCTACATTGTCATCTTCTGTTAGAACCTTGTTTAAAGTAGCATTTTTGCTGATGTCTATGACAGAGCTCAAGTTTAGATAAAGCTCCTTCAAACAATTTGACTTGCCTGCAAATAATTTGCTGAGATGTTTTATTTAACACTTTCTATTATTTCATTAATTTTCTTCTTCTTCTTCTTACCTACCGGCACTTCATTAAGTATATGCACTTTCAAAAGCGCGCACAAGCCACCAAACAACAAAAATTAATAAAAAAAACAACTCGAGAAAATGTCCATAAAAATGCCAAAATTCCAGCTTAAATATGTAAAATGCAAATTTTTCGCGAATTTCGCCAAGGTGAGATTAAGTAACAAGTGTCCTTCGGTGATTATGCTGACAATTTATGCATGTGAACATTAATAAATACATGTGCATGTATGTGTGTGTGTGAGTGTGTGCAGGCATGTAAACAAACTTCTTAATGCACTCACCGTCGCTAATCAGTTTGCGAGCATTATCACAACGTTGTACTATTAAAAGTCCATTGAGATAATGGAGTAAACAAACAAACACGACGATGCAACACTGTAACTGCACGCTGGTATGCATATATGTGTGTGTGTGTGTGCGTGGATGTATTTTGCCGACATGTCACTGCTACAAAATATAAATCTTGATTGCGAATCAAGAGCAATCAGTGGGAAAGTCGAGTCACGTGGAGCGATGGTCAAGAAAGGCTAACATATGAAAGTGTATGTATATGTGTGTGATCACCAGGTTGTTGATAGTCGGTAAAGTAATAGTTATATACATGTATATGTGTGTGTTTCTATGGGAAAAGAAGTCATACATCAATTGTTGCATGAACGCAGCTATCTCATTTGCGCGATGCCATTAGCCGTTATTTATGACTGGTGCCCATTAATTTCATCACCAATTACTTAAGTTCACCATCCGGGCAACTTTTGCAACTAGCTGCATACATACAAACACACATACATATACACAAATATATCTGTATGTAAGTGCCAATTGATGAACTAGTTCAGTGGAGGAGAGTGCGGCGCGCCAACCAGCAGATATCCAGGGAGGAGTGTTGCCACAAAGGGGTGCGGTTGTTTATCATATGTTGCATATGATTAGCGCTATGTGGGCTATGCGTTGCTGTGTTGTCGCATGCCGCTTGTCGCTGCTACGGCAACATGTTGCGCAGCATTATTCGTAAAAGGCAACAACAACAACAGCAGAGCAAAAATATAGCTAGTTCATTTATCAGAGCTTCGCTTTACAGTCAATTGATCTTAATTATGCAAGAGGAACAATGTTGCCGCAGCAATCAAAACAACTACAAAAACAACAACAGTGAAAGGAAAAAAACGAACAGCAATTGCATGAAGAATGGCGAAAGACTGCGACTAACAGCAAGAAGAAAGCATAATAGAAGGCAGGCAACAATATACAAACGCGTTGTGTTGTTAATAAATTTATAATTACAACTTGCCACAAAAGTAAGGAAGGCAAAATGATAGTTGTGGCAAATGAGAAGAAACGCCGCATCAAATGCCACGCCAGCAACACTGACAGCAGCAGCAGCGAAAATCAGTGCAGAAATGCAGAAACAAGTGAGTTGCTGCCAACAACAACGACAACAACAACAACAACAGAAATTGTAAGCAAATTTTTGCTGCCGCCAAACAGGATTTGGCTCCCATCGCGCGAGTCGCGTGGCGCAACTATCCACAGTTGTGTGTAACACTGCGCCAACAACAATGCGCTTAGGCAGGTACCTTCTTCACGCAGTCGTCGCGATCGCGAGTCGACGCTTGTCCGTCGCTGCCACGCGTATACAAGTTGTGGCAAGTTGTCTCGTACTGGCACCACTGCCGCCATCAACGCAATATTGTGATAACAGCGACAACCAACAACAACAAAAACCAACAACTAACAGCCAACATCCAACATTCAACAATAACAAAAACACCAATCAATAAAAAAGCCTCTGTGCGGTTGTGGCAACAGCAACAAAGCGTGCATGTCACTGTATATGTGTGGCTCCAGCAAAATCACGGCACAGTTGTAGCAGCGGCATACTCATATATATACATATATACACATACTCATACATATTTGTGTTTCAACGGTCACATCACCATCGGCATCACTACACCATCATTATCGTCATCAGCGGCCAAGCCGTTTGTATGGCAGCCGCAGCAAAAGCGGCAGTAGAGGCTTTTTAAGTGCATAAGTATATGCTAAAGTGCATATAGCTGAGTATGCTTGTGTGTTTGCACTGATTTTTGTAGAAGCTATATTTTGTCCGGTCTCATTTTTTAACTGTGGCACTGCGCCACTTGGGCTGAAATGAGAACAAGAACGTGAATTGGTTACTTTGCTGCTTGCGCCACTTTCTCAGCATTATTTGTTGTTTCTATGTATGTAATTATAATTTGCTATATTAGCCTTAGATGGAACTTTCGAGAATTGATATTTTTTTTACACTTCGGAGATTGTGTATGTTTTTCGAAGAGCTAGAGCGAAAACGATTGTTATAATTGAGAGAACGAAAGATATTGATTAGATTAGATAGTGATCCGATCTAAACAATTTCTTTGCAAATTGCATTATTGCCTTAGATAATAATCCATGCCAAATTTCGTGAAGATACCTCGTTAAATAAAAGAGTTTTCCATACAAGAACTTGATTCCGATTGTTCAATTTGTACGGCAGCTATATGCTATAGTAGTTCGATATCGGCCGTTCCGACAAATGAGCAGCTTCTTAGTGAGGAAAGGACAGGTGCAAAATTTCAGATCGATAGCTTAAAAACTTACGGATTAGTTACTTGTATATACAGACAGACGGGTATAAAAAGAATTCAGGGTATAAAAGTTGCCCTGCCCCCTAATCCTAATCTTACCCAAAAATGGTCGAATTCGAACCACAAGTTTTAAAGCTGTAGATGCCGAATGTGTGGACCACAGTCCCTGTGTTTGACTTGAATATATCGGTCAATCTGTGAGAAATCTAAGTAAAATTCAGAAAATATATATTTCTGATAAAAGAGTACTCTTATCGACGGCGTCGGGTATTATCCTAGGCACTAAATGGGTTTTTCAGGAAGAGTTCGCCAAGAAATAAGGGATATGCGTCGAAACACAAAGATAAGAGAGCTTAAAGTTGATCCAAAAATTATACAATAAGCTGAAGTAATTAATGATACGAGAAAAATTATGTAGGTAAAACAAAAATGTATTTGAACCTAGAAAATAATGAAATCTGTGAGTTTTCTATTTTATGCGTCACCATTTTTTTAGCAAAAGTCTTCATCACCTCAAATGAAAGTTAGTGGTTTTGAGGCTGTTTGGCTATCGATCAACATTAAGTTCTGTCAATGAAGTCGTAATATTCCCAGTTCTGTATGTAGAGTAACTATATATTTGTGGAATTCAACTTGTGTTTTGGGAAGCCAATCAAAAACTGTATAATAGCTTTGTTGCTATTATAAAAGAGATCTATTTAATAGCGCAGAGCATTGAATTATTTGCATTATCCGGTTATTTACACAGTTTTCTAGCAGCTGTGATCCCTCCGCAATTGTTACCAAGCTGCTTTATGAAAAGAAAAGCCTTCTCATAACATCAATTAGCTATTCAGAGAAAAATGCAAAATTTTACGAAGAAATCTAGAATGAATTAAACATTTTAGAAATTTTTTACTTCAAAAGGGTTGCAAAAAGTGATGTTGCAAAAGCATACACTTCTTAGGCTAGAGAACCAGTATTGGTTAGTGCTTCAGTTTTGACAATTTTTAGAGCAAGTCTATATATAGTCATAAAATAAATTATACATATACATACATTTATAAATGCGTAAATAGCAATAAACAATCTATTCGTGTGCAGCAATTGATTTTTTCTTTACTTCCAAACATCTACTTCTCTCATTCCTTTTGAGCATTAATTTTTTCCTCACTTTCTTTAAAAAAAAAAAAAGCAGTCAAAATGGACTAGGCATATAAAAAATGGTTTAACCCTTATGTTAGTAACCGGGTACCCGGGTGAATAGTTAAAAAAAAAATTCAATATATAATTTTAAGCTCTCAAATCGTCGTTTTTTAACTTAAAAGAAAGCTATCTATGAGTTCATTTTTTTTTTATTCTACGTTGTTATTTTTTTTTTCTTTAAATTGTCACTGACTATTATTATTTGAAAAGAAAATTTTTTAGAAAAATTTTTTTTTAATAAAATAAACAAAATAATAATAATACTCAGATCGTTGCTAAAAGACGTCGGTAAAGTTGGTTACTAACATAAGGGTTAAAGGTTTTTACATAATTTCCACTTTGCAGTTGTATAATATTTTATGCTATATCACCAGTATTTAAGAAATCGAAGAAAAGTTCCCACTTTTTCGTCCTTTTCAATAAAAAGCTAATTCCAATTGTGAAAATCTTGAGAAAATATAAAATAAAGCGATTTATGTTTTTCATTCATTTTGTATATATATTTTCAATATTTTTAATTTTAGCACAATAAAACTTAAAAGTAAAAATTCTTACACTTAATAATATTCAGTTATGTTTTTCAGCCTTAAAATTATTTCAGTTTAGTGTCTTCCGGTGGTTTGCTTAGTCTCTACTTAACGCTAATTGTATTGTCTTCCATTTAAAAGTAATAGCACTTAAGCTAACTGTAAATGCTTTACAAATAGTCATATCTCTCCATGTACATAATTTTGAACTAAGGCACACAAAAACTACAATTACTTTATATATACATACATATTTACTTTAATTAATTTTTTTTTTGTTTTTTAATGCAAAAAATTGGCAAATTCAACTAATTTGACTAGGTAACTGAGTTAACTTAACGCAAAGCACACGCACATACATATTTACATTACAAATTTCACTGGCTAAGTATCCCTGAACGTCTATATATTTACAACTTATGCGCGCAACACTCATTGTTCTTGCCACAGCGATATGTAGTCGAGTATTTCCTCATCGTCGGGCGTGCAGTCCTCCTCATGAAGATTAAAGTTGTCATATGGCTCGAATTTCAACTGTAAATTCGCATCAATCTGCGCGCTGACACTATTATTACCGCTACCGTTGCGCTGCGCTGCGCCGCTTGCCACATGTGGCACGGGAGAATGCACAAAAGTGCCCGAATCAAAAGACATGCTGGAGTTGAAGGATGAGGTAGGCGAGGGGCAGCCAATATCAAGCTGCGTCTGCGCTGTCTGCATGGCTTCTGGTGATGTGTACGCTTGCAACGCTTCAGCAGTAAGTAGCGTAGAGGTAAATTGTTGCTGCTGTTGCTGTTGTTGTTGGAAAGCTTGCAGGGCGCTACTGGCCGCGCTGGTATAGTACAATTGCTCCGCCGCTGCCAAGTCGCCAGCGTTAGAGGAGTTACGCGCTGGCGAATCTGGCGCAAGCATGCTGAGATTACTGCTCGTGCTGCTGCTGCTGCTGAACGAGCTGTTGCTCGATGTGGTGTTGTTGTCCGCGCCGGCCGTTAGTAGCACGCCGTCACTGCTGCGTGTGCCGCTCATTTTCTGGTTATTACTGCCACTGCTACCGCCATTTAAGTCATCGACTAAGTCCTGCAATCGCCGTATATACTCGACCGCAATGCGCAGCGTATCCACTTTGCTAATTTTCTTGTGCGGTCCACGGCCACCGCCCTTCAGCAGATCGGTGATGATGGTTTGCGGTATGTGTTGACGCAGGCGCGCAAAGCTATTGTTCACCTGTTTGACGCGATTCCGTTCGCGTGCATTACGCCGTTGCACCGATTGCGTTTGATCGACGCTGTAAGGTCCGCCGCCATTGCTGGGCGCGCGCGGCGTGTACTTGCGCGTTTTAATCTCAGCGCCTGTACAACCAGCAGCGGCCAAAGACATAGCGGGCGCTGGCGCAACATTTTGATATTTGAACATTTTCACCGCTGCGCTGAGCTGCTGTTGATGGCTTATGTTTTTATTGTAGCACTGCAGCGCGTTGTTGGCTTTTGAATCGTTGTGCGTATAGACCGCGCTTGACATGTTCACCATCGGAGTATATCTTCTGTTGCAACTGCTTAGCAACCGTAAAGCAGTTTGAGTATTTGTATTTTACGCGTTTGTTGTTACAACTACACAAGCACTTCAAAAGTTGTTGTGCCAATTTCTATATGTTTACTTAGTACAAGTTATTTTAACAAATTTTGCGCTTTCTAAAGTTCAAGTGAACTTGATCCTAAGACACCTTGCACAAGAATGAGTCCCTTCGTCCTAAACCTTTGCGTTTTGTACTACACTCACAGCCAGCAACTCCTGCGCCTGGTCGCTAAGGTACCACATTTAAACAACCAATTAGCCGAGCATACGCGCCGTGAGAGCACGTTTATAAGAGCAGCACAACGCTTGCTATGAGCGCAGAAGAAATTATTTTACTGATCAGTTTTATTAACAGGTAAATACGAAACCATAACAAGGCACTCAAGCGCGCTCTCTGTACTAAAGACCACAACTTCAAAAAAACTGAGATATGTACTCACACACAAAACAAGCACTTTTACACTACCGTTCTCTTTCAATTCAGACTGTAGTTATAATACGCACGCAATAAACTCTTTGCCATATTTCAACTACGCTCACGCTCTTCTACAATCGCTCTGTACATGCACGATCACTCGCTCATTTGTCCGAGTGGTAGCGCACGCACTCACCTCTAGAAAAAATGTGCCGCTTATCAGTCGGTTCAGGTAAATAATAATGCATTGATATCGCAAGCATGCTTCCTTGTTCTACTCACTCGAGTGAGTGCGTGAGTAGTCTGAGGCCGACCGTGAACTCGTTCTTCACAGTGATCATACAAAACAAAAAAAAAAAAAACTGTTCCCAATCTGGTTTCAAGCTTTAATTGCATATAAAGAGTATCTTTCGGTAGCCATCTCGGCTCTCTTGCACTGGTTTTTGGACTCATGCTCATTTACCTGTTTAGTTTTGTTTAACCGATTTCAGGATTTTACTTTGATTTGAGTGGGCAAATGTTATTTCACGCCCTCAGACTCAGTGTTCAATGAGAGCTCGGCGAATAAGGATATGTTGTGGATATGATACACTTCTCTATCGTTTGCTTTTATAAGGTGACGGAAGTTTACGTAAATATTCTTCAGTATTGAAGTATTTGTGTTGCATCAAGGATTTTTTGGGAATAATTGAAAAATTTGGCCGGGTTTTCAAGTGACTGGGTTTTTTTTTATTTAGTTTGTTTTATGTTTAAAATTAAGTTTGTATTTGGTCAACTAATGGTATTTCTACTTAGCTCATTACTTGTGGCATACAAAGTTTCCAATACTTGTAAAAGTATTTTTTCTTACTCTTTTACAATTCTTTACCTTAATTTGGACATCGTATGGTAATCCACTTATAATCAAAAGAACGGAAAAATTCTAAGTGGAACCAAAATCTTCTAGGGATACCAATAAAGCTCAAATGTTTAGCAAGTTATTTCAGCTTGCTGAAGCTTTCGAATCTAATGCTATTAATGGGAAGTCGAAGAGAAGCAAATTACGAGAAACTAATAATATTACTAACCTCGCACTATAATTATAAAATATTTAAATTTCTTCTAATATTAGTCAGCTTGCATTGCAACTTTGCTGGGAATATGGGTCACATATATGTCCAGTAGACCACAAATGGCCTTAAGAGCCACCACAGCTACTGTGCTGTTCACTACTCAAAGTCTAATATTTAATTCTTTAACTATATTAAATGTAATATCGTAGCCACTAAGGTTCTTAATTTTGCTTTGGTTTCTGAGTAAAATGTATTCCCTTTCTACCTACATATATACAATATTTTAAGAGACACATCTAGTGTAAAATTTTGAAATTTCATATTTCAATAGTTTTATATACCTCCAATAATACATACAAATCGACACAATGGCTGCATCGGTTTTTTGTTCTGATCACCGAATTAGGCCAAAAACGACTAACATTTGGGGTAAAATTCAACTTTTGTCTTAAACGACGCCATTTTGTCAACTTTTATTTTTTTTTTTAAAAGCTTTTTCTATTTTTATGTTTCATCGACAGAGAAGGACGTCATCACTACAGCAGTGGAGGATCTCTTTGTTTTAGCGCCGTCGGAGATCTTGTATGACTCAAAATATTAAATGTTTTTTTTTCAGAAATGTTATTGTAATGTCTTTTTGAAACACACACCCCTCAAAACAATTGATACAGTAGTTTTTTTTTTAAATTCCCAAAAATCGATTCTCACAAACGAGGTTACATCAGTTAACTCTAATTGCTATTGTTTTTTTCGATGTAGACGAATAAAAAGTATTTGATTGAAATAAATATAGACTAGATCGAAAGTTTAAGCACAGTACGTTGTGATGAAATGTTGTCCCAATCAACCGACTTATAACCAAAATAGAATACCTCTCAAAATTTTGGATATATATCTACTTTCAATTAAAAAAAAACCGTCTGAATTTTTTAACAGGCATTTTATTTTTTAAATAAATGAAAATAATGTTCATTCACAGAATTCAATGTATTTTAAGAATAGGCAATTCATGTTGCAAAGTTTTTAATATCATTGATACCGTAGCCGATTTACAGGAGGGGCTAAGAAGAAAGGTGTCTAACCTTGAAGAAGATTTTTCTACTTTCACTTCAAACAGAAAAAATTGATTATAAATATTACAACTTTTTCGAAGTGGAATCAAATTTTTATTAACAGAAAGCTTCGTCCATAGGTTACAGGGAGGGTTTAAGGTTCGATATAATATTATTAGAGAAAATTCTGGGTTTATTGCCCTTTTGGACTCATAGTGTTATCCTAAAAATTGATATCAAAACAAGATTTAAGGCGCTTTCAAACACCAAGTGTATTTAATGTAATTTTGTTCATGCCAGACATATACGAAGTGATTTGTTATTGCCTGCAATAAAACAACGACGGATTATTCGATTGATATGAATTTTATTTATCCGAAAGATAATCTTGTGGCATTACATTAAATATGATTTCTGGCATATGACCGCCACGGCTGGCATGGATGTAGTCCAATCTGGACGTCCATTTCTCGATGACTTTTTCCAACATTTGTGGTCGTATATCGGCAATAACACGGCGAGTGTTGTCTTCAAAAAGGTTAAGCGTTTGTGGCTTATGCGCATAGACCAGTGACTTTACATAACCCCACAGAAAATAGTCTAGCGATCGATTGTGGCACGAGCTGTTTGACATGTTGCGCCGTCTTGTTGGAACCACAGCTCCTGGACATCATGGTTGTTCAATTCAGGAATGGAAAAGTTAGTAATCATGGCTCTATATCGATCCCCATTGACTGTAACGTTCTGGCCATCATCGTTTTTGAAGAAGTACGAACCAATGATTCCACCAGCCCATAAAGCGCTCCAAACAGTCAGTTTTTTTGGATGTAACGGTTTTTCGACATACACTTGAGAATTAGCTTCACTCCAAATGCGGCAGTTTTATTTGTTGACCATTCAACCAGAAGTGCGCTTCATCGCTAAACAAAAAAATGAACGTAGTGCGCGATACGTATTCCGCACAAAATTATTTTCGAAATAAAATTGCACTATTTGCAAGCGTTGTTCAAGCGTGAGTCTATTCATGATGAATTGTCAAACCAAACTGAGAATAAATCACTTGACAGATTTTAAATGGGTCACCATCTTGAACAGTAATGCTGCCTTAAAATTCTATACCTCGAAAAAAACACCCTTTATATCTAAGAATATTAATATTCTAAACTGCCCTTAACATAAATATGTGACTAGTTTGGATAAAAGCCGCATTTTGACTTCAAACCCAATGAAAGTCTGTGAGATTTTCGACACCGCTACTAACAACGCTAAAAAACATTTTGCACGTTTGAGAATAGTAATTAAATGTGATCATAATTTAGAAAATACAGATCGATACAGTATTGATCAATACTGTATTGAAACTTATGGACTTTACACTGTTATTTCGTCAACGCCGAATTCTTAGCGACGCCATCTCTTCTGTGAGTCAATGCTCTCAATTTAAATATTTTTCAAAAGTCCTGTGAAAAGTAATTTGCTCTGCACTCAAGCATAAAGCGTATATCCGGGCGTGTATGCCACGTGCAACAACACGCTTGTCCTTTCAACAAACCCCTCCCTGGTTAAAATATAAATGAAGCAACGTCAAAACGAAATTTTCGAACACAAACAAAAAACAACACACGTTTTTTAATTGCTATGCAATTATCAAAAAGTTATAGGTTCACCCTAGTAATAAGCGCAACAACGAGGGCAACTTGTTAAGCCACACATGCAACAAGGTAACAAAATCAAGGGCGACCTACGTTCATTAGTGCACCACATTGTATGGCTGGTGAGCTGGTGACACTTTATCAGGAACTAGAAATTTTTTTATAAACAACGGCTATATTTTTTTTGTTGTTATTTATTATTTTTTCAATTTTAATTTTTTATTTTATTTTTACTTTTATTTTTTATTTTTTTTTTACTTTTATTTTTTTTTGTGTGAATAATTTTACACAATATCACTGCGTATGATTTAATACACTTACATATGTATCTTTCCCGTTTGGCGGCACGCCGATCCAGCTGAACAAGTCCTGGTGGCTGTGTTAAACACCAGCTTGGCTGCAGCACTTAAATTTAGTGGTAGATTTTTGTAAATATTTTAATTAAATGCAGAGCCCTTAAGATACATAACAATATATATATATGAGAAATAATACAAAAAAATAAAAATTAAACTGAAAACAAAAAAAAATCTTGCCAGTTGTTGTTGTCCAACAAGCCAGTGGCCAAGCAACAGTTCCGCTGTTCGCGCACACATTTACATATATTTATTTATCTACATACATATATACATACCATATGTACATATACAAGTAACTATATATACTTATTGATGTTATTGCTGTTGTTGTCATGCTGTTGGCGCAACGGCGCGTGGCAGGTGTATTTACGAGTTACGTGCTCGTCAAGCTGTAGGCACCACTTTTCAGGGTAAAAACTATAAACAAAGTGGTTATACATACATACATACTTATATACATGAAGGGATATATATTTACTTGTGTAGGTAATATGTACTAATATACCAAGTCGTTTTTGTATGTATATAGTGCTTGCTTGCTTTCCTAGGGGTTGCATTTTAATGGAGCTCCACGAAAATCCAAGTGAAAGGGTCGTAAGAAAATAATTTTTTATAAAAATAAATACAACAAAACACTATAGTACAAAATCGAGTTTGTAACCCAACTCAAGTTAAAAAAATGTGTAATGAAATTATTA